GGTGGTAAACCCATTTTATAAACATTGTCACCTCCCAAAAGCCCATCGTATTTGTGCACACCCTCCCAGGGAAAAGATGGTAAACTCATTTTGTGAACCTTTTCACCTCCCAAAGCCCATCGTATTTGTCCACACCCTCCCCACAATATTCATTTTATATACCATTCCCCTTGCATCCCATTGTATCCGATTGTATTTGTTCACACCCTCCACTCAGGGCGGTGAATCAATGAAAAAAAGGGATGACACTGACACTATTCAAAGTCCAAACATGTCCAAACAAATCCAAACAATACAGTCACCAAAACAAACAAGGATCAACAACAGCCATGGATGAACATGGTGGAACTTGTCGCCCAGCACCTCCAACAACACTGCCGTTCTAATCCATTCTGCAGCCAGACACAGCCCTGTGTGGTTTGTAAAAAAGTTAGAATCACAGAAAGTTAGAACTACAGAAGTTACATAGAAAGTTAGAATCACAGACTTGTCCGCACAGAGGATTTTTGAGTCTGTCGCAAGAGATCCTGTGAGGATGAAGCCGAACCTGGCTTTGCATTCCATAAACATTGGCCATTTTCGGATCAAAATGATCACTGGATCTGGAACGCCATTCCATAAAGACACAAGAGGTGCCTCTGAAATTTTATTTTTTTGCTCTCTGAATCCTGTCACGGAAGGGTAGGGGGGGTTGTGGGGGGGGGCTCGTGGCCTTATGCTTAGGGCCTTGATAAGTGAGCATGGGTTATCCATTTTCTCATGTTAATGCATTTTTGCAAAAATAGCGCCCTTTTGTTTTTTTGTCCACGTGTTTTGTGACATTGTGGCCATGGCACAAAAGCTTCAAAACCACCAACGCAAACCATTTGCCCCCCAAAAGAGCAGTTTTTGGACCCTCTGGATAAGCACTGGATAAGCACTGGTTAAGGGGCAATCAGCAGGGCAGGAGGGTTTTTGGATAAGCCCTGATTAAGCCTTTGATAAGCCAGAATCCAGCCCCAAGGTGATGCAAGAAACGTTGCCCCAAAAATGCAAGTTTGAGCCCCATTGGCCTATTGCATGTGACAAAACAAAGCTACAAACAAGTCACCGCAATGATCCGGTCCTGGTAAATGTATTTCTGGCGGAGGGGGTGATTCAATACTATCAGAAGGCTAACCAAAGCTGTTAAGGCTCTAATAGGGCTTTATCCATAAGCTTCTATTAAAGCCTTAATAGGCCTGGTGAAGATTCTATTAAAGGCTTAACCAAAGCTATTAAAGCTTTAATACCAATGGATCACTTCAGCCAGCAAACAGCTGCCAAAGCATAAGGGCAATAGCCCCCCCCCCCATAGCCCCCTCAACCCTTCCATGATCCTGGTCAGTATTATAAAAAAAGGTCGGGTTCTCATTTTATAAAGCAGCAGCATGTGGGCTTCCATTTTATAAATGATTGTTCCTTATAAAATGAAGTCACGGATCCCAGAGACCTCCACAAGGGGGATTTATGCCCTAGGGATCCAAGTGCCTTCTCAGAAGGTGTATGGGGTGGATTTGGAGGGTCCAGGTGCCGTACCTGAGAAGGTACGACTGGATCCCTAGGGATGTAGGAACACTTCCAGAATCAACAACGGTTTCCTGCCAATGTGAACGTGCTGACGCCTTTTCATGGTCCTAAGAATCCGAGCTCGGGCTGTCCGCAGGGGTCCGGGGGCCTCCATGGCAGGGGTTTGGGGCCTCACACCCTATCGAGGGCCTGGATTCTTAGGGGTGCGATGAATAACAACGTTTCTATTCCTGGGCTGATTGGGTGGGGGAGTTGGGAAGTGTTGTTTCCTTTCTGCAGCCAGCACGGTGTCTTTTTCAAAACAAACTCGAGAGACTTGACGGACGACCGAGTTGGTTCGGTGACGATCTTGGAGCCGGCAACGTTTGGGAGTGTTACATGTACCAGGGTCTTCCGTTCTGAAGGGTACCATGGGGTACCGCATGAGCAAAGACAGTCTCAGGAGCGGATGAAGTGGGACAGCAAGGCCTTCAAAGTCTACGAGGTGCCGAGTTGAGCCAAAAAAGGTGTGTGCGATATTGTGCGATTGGAAGTGGACAACCCCGGGTGTGTAGAGTTTTTTGTTCAGTGACCATCCCATCTACTTCCAGTTTCAGCGAGTGTAGAAAGAACATTGCGGTGAGTTGCAAACGAACATGTGCAAATGTTGGGCAATGTTTCTTCAAAAGTGACCACAGTTCTGCCACCAAACTCAAGGGTCATCAAGGGGCACGGAGTTCCTATAGTTACTCAAGTTCCCGGGTTCAACACACATCACCAAACATAGCACGAATTCAATCCCAGGTCCACTCCCTACGTCCATGCATGGCCAATGATACCTACATGGTGGTGGTTTGCCAGAAGGGTTCATGTAGACCTCTTCGCCGGCTCAGTGGTTTCAGAGCTTTTCTGTCCGAAACGACCCGATGTTGAACAACCCGAACTAAAATATCCTATAGGTACCCCTGCCAGGACCCTCCAAGGGGTGCCCAATGGAAGCCTATAGGTAGTGTGGGGTAGTCCATTGGACACCCCTTGGAGGGTCCAGGTGTAGGGTCCTATTTAAGGTCACTGGCTACCTCTGTTGGAACGACCCGATGTCGTTGTCGATGGGGGTCCATCTACCAGTACCACCTCCTCGACGATCGGTGCCGGTCTGGAACAGTCGAAACCAACGGCCGTCCGGAACGCCGTCCCCACCGGGCGTTCCGGTTCAGGTGCTGGGCACCCAGGCGAACAGCGGACTGGGGAGGTGAACAGATCGTTGATCGACCCCCAGACTGCCTGCTCTAGGAAACGGAGGTGGTGCGCCCCGTTTTGGCGAAATGGGCGCGAAGGGACGAATGGCCGGGAGAAGACGACAAACACGGTGGTTGGAGAGACGCAGACTGGTTGGAGAAACTTTCAAGTGAGCGCTCGCCCGAAAAGCAGTATCGCTCCAGTGTGGTTCCATTTGCAACTGCAAGTATACCAAAATGCCTACAGTATATCGGTTTTGTTTTGGATGGGGGAAGAAGAAAAGTGAGAGCATACAGGAATCCGAGACATTGAGAAATGTTGGGTGTGCAGCAATCTGAAGACACCCGGGAGGAGACCCAGAACCTGCCGGCATGGACCTTTGGAAGACTATTTTCCTCTACAACCCAGCAGTTTTCAGGTTTCACGATGTTAATTTTCCTGGGCGTAGTTGTTGTGTTGGGTGGCATTGCGCGAGGCATGAGTCCGGTGGGTGGGGGGGCATCGCCAGCACGAGGGAGTCACGAGGGAGGCCAGTTTCCTCCAATCGAGGGTGTTTGCGGTTATGAATCATCACGAATTTCTGTGACTGACTGTGTCCTTTTTTTTTGGCCTTCCAATCTCTATAGGTGACAGAAAGTTGTTGCAAAGGGGTTTTGTTTTTAACATTGTCTTTACAGTCTTTGCATCTTGGACGGTTTTCATTGACGTCCGCACACGTCCCAAAACGCGTGTGTGGATTCGTGGGTTAAACCGCTGACAACGTGCGACATGTCCAATGAACACATATGGACCCCGGTCCGATGCAGTCTGATCCGATCTCAAAGGGCATCCACGGCACTAAAGCACGGTGACGTGGAGGTTGGAGGAAGTCGGTGTGCAGAACCCCTCAAATGACCATGAAATCTACCACCAGGTGGTCTATTTTCCGCTTCCATGTACCAGCACCTTCATGTGGTCACCTGGTTTCGCCCCAGCCCACTACCGTCCGGGATCTCCAGCCAGGAGATCAGAGTATGAGTGTCTTCCCCAGACCATCCATGGGACTGACATCTTGACCGATCAGGTCAGGGCCTGGTCAAGGACTTCAGAGACTTTTGGTGTTGAAAACCCGCCATCGTCGGCACTGATTGACAGGCAATTGCTGCAAAACCTCCATGCAGATGCAATATTCCCCGACTTTGGGGGTCAATTGGGGCAGCATATATTCCAGTCCCATGGATGGTTTGGGTCTTCTATTTTGGGTTGTGGCCTCCAGTTTTGCGCTGGTCGTTTCGATTTCATGCTGCTTGGATGGAGACCGAAGTCTGACACTCCATGAGACTGCCATAGACTGGTATAGACTGGCATACACAACTGGGCGCTTTCAGGGTCCAAACGGATGGGCTTGCTCGTCCTTTCGTCCCACAGCTCGGACACGACGTTCGAACGTCGCAGGTGCAGCAGTCGACTCAGAGTTTCTGCGACTTCCTCTACTGCCGAGTGCCGGTGTTGCCAGGCCGGGTCTTTGGAGGATCGCTATGAGGGAGCTGTTTCCATGACCTGTAACCGTCAATAAATGAGATACACCCAAGGTATGGAGGTATGAGTTCCTTTTTCGAGTGAAAAACCAATGATCCCAACATCCTCCAACCACTTTCAAGAAGAAAAACACATGAAGAAGGTGGCTGGCTTCCATACCAACGAACCGAACCAACAAACCGAACAAAAAGGGTCGAAGGGTAGGAATGGCTGCTCCTTCTCTTTTGGGCGTTGTGATCCGACCTCCGAGTATCTGGACTTCCTGCAGGTGGAAGGAGGAACCCCTCGGTGGAGGAAAACACATCGGTTCGTTCGGAGAAACAACGGGTCCCAGAGGATTCATGATGTGTTTGAATGAATGATATATAGTTACTACATGTTATTACAGTGGTTTCCAGAGGTGAGAAATGGCACAGACCCCATGATGTCCTTTAGATGGGAGTCCATATAAACCACCGACATTGGGGTCTGTGCCATCTACTCTCAATCCAGGTAATAATTTAAGGGCTGACGCCCGACAGCAGGCCAGGGGCCCACCACTGGTGGTCGTCGTTGTTGTTGTTGTTGTCGTTGTTGTTGTGGTGGTCGTGGTCGTGGTCGTGGTCGTGGTCGTGGTCGTGGTCGTGGTCGTGGTCGTGGTCGTGGTCGTTGTTGAGGCTACGTTGGCCCATCTTGGGCCTATGTTGTTGTTGTCGTGGTCGTTGTTGGGGCTACGTTGGCCCATCTTGGGCCGATGTTGGGTCATCTTGGGGACCTCTGTTGGATCATCTTCGGGTACATTTTGCGCAATATGTGTTGCAATGCGCTCATCACACAAAAAAATCCGATTATGCACGTCCGCGCGGCGCGCATTACCGACACCACCCTTGTAAAACCCACAGTTCTTGCATTTTGCCATATTAAAAGCTTGTGATGTTCCACGCGCACAAAGCCCTGTAAAACACAGGGGCATAGGCAGGGGCGGAGGTCGAACCCCCTGGTCGGCGGCAGGGGGTGGAGCCGCTCTCTCCTTCGGAGAGGAGAGAACCCTGTGAGAGGACACGGCCAGTGCCGGGCCCGGTGACGGGCCCCTGGCCGGCTTTAAGGGGGGGTACCGCCCAAGAGCGCATATTTCAGATGTCTCTCAAGCACTGTGTATGTCATAATTTGGACACGATTTGCAAAGATAGGTCATGAAGTGTTGGACCTGAATAGCTGAAAAGTGCACGTTTCAGTTGATAAAATTATAGCAGCGACAACCTGTTTGTTTGAAGTGCCGGTGGACACTACTTGGCGTTGTTCTGCCGTTCGACCTCGACCGTTTCTGACAACTACCCTGAATCCATCGAAGCATCAGAAACTGATACAACAACCCAATCGTACTAGAACACTTTAGCCGTTGGCAGGTCTAGGCTCCGCGTGGTCCCGCGCGCGCCCCCTGGCGCCTTGTCTTCCCCTGCAGGGGCGCGCGCGGGACCACTATATGCAAGCTTGGGGTTGCCTGGTTTTGCGCACCGGGTCCAGGGGGTGCGCAGGGAGGAGTCGAACCCGGGACCCCAACCGCCTGTACCGCAAAAAAGAACCTGACGGTCCACACCCCTTTTCAATCATGACCAATGTCCAAAATTTGTCACAAACGTGTCAATTTTTCGCGAAGCGCTGGTTGGTGGACAAGCCCCAGCTATACCTACCGAACTATTCTCAGGAGCACGCCGTCCCCATTCCGCTCACGCTCACGCTCTCGGTGCTAGAGCGGGGTCGGCGGATTATACTTTCAGAATATCATTTGATAAGCCCCCATCCCTGCGCAAGATGGCCCAGACACGACACGTCTTGGACTGCCTTTTGGCGGGTGGTGGACTTCAGGGGGTCAATGGGGCAGCATACCAGGACTCCCAGGCTAGGGGTGTCTCTTTATAGCCCCAACTAGCTGTGATTCGGGGTGTCCATGTCGACCACCCAACCCCATGCCAGCCATGTTCGTCGCCGCTCCATCCGCGCGTCGTGGAGGCGTCAAGGACCGAGACATGGTACAGGCGAGGTGGTCGCCCGGAACGTTTCATCCATCGGATCGGTGTTTGGGCGGTGGAGTGGCCGGGATCTCGATCCATCTGGACATGTATTCTGGAATGATCTAGATCGATCTCTCGATCTGAATGCTCATGGAAGGTTCTTTCCGCCCAAGAAGAAAGGATCACCCTACAGATTCATGATCTCTACCAGCACCCTCCAACAGGTCACTCATTGAGACCTGTTAGGGCCCAACAACCCTTTAGAGGAGACCTGTAGAGTTGGGTGCTGGTATAATAGATTTGGAAGGAGAGAGAGATGTTCACCTTGCCCGCGGGCTTGCTGTTGCCGTGGTCTGGCCCGGTGAAAGAGGTCGACCACGACTGAATTGTGGAGGACGAAGCCTTGCTTGACCTGGTTGTGGCTGAATTGTCCCCAACTGGACCAATCCCCTGGCATGGGGAGAAATTTGTTCCATTTTTGCCCGGGCCAGTTCACAGCCCTTTCCTGGTTCCTCAAAACCATAAGGATTGGTTCGAGCCCAGATCCCTGACCCGAGAATTCGGGTCCCGGGTCGCGTCTGGGTGAAAGCCATGCAAATCCGGCCTCGTGACACCGACACCGCGGGAACAAGTTGATGCGACATCCTGCCTCGGAGTCATGCTTGCCATTTCGCTTCCAAGTTGGTGCGAAAAATGGATGCCTTTTTCCGTTTTCGTACCGTGGTTCACCTCAACCAGCCATTGTCAGGATCCCATACGGGCGCTTGGTGCGTCGGAAGATCCTGGGTACCAGGTTTCGTGGCCCGCCTGATGAAAACTAGCCTGCCCTCTCTTCATGAAGCGCTTTCCACTTCCGGACTTCGATGGGTGGGAGAATCGCGCTTTTGCGAGCGGTTCAGGAGCGGTTTCTCATGAAGCTTCCGGGCGAGCAAGGCCTGGTTTGGAGCCGAGAGTCTGAGGGATTTGAGCCGAGAGTCTGAAGGATTTGGGAGGTTGAAAGACCGGGGTGAATGTCTTTAGCTTCAAGACCAGGCGAGAACCACATAGATCAGATCGTCCTGACGATCCAAATCGCGTGTCAACCATCGTAGATTTGTGGACCAATGTCCAATCCTGGCCAGGTTGAGAGGGGAAGAGCCGGACCGTTGAAGCGGGGTGGGGAGATGTTTCTTTATTTTCTTCCAACGCATTGTGCTACTTTTGATGTGACTGCTGGGATGGGTGACGACTGCCATAGGGTTCCCAAAGTGGATGCCAATTATGAATTAGATGCCTACGCAGCCACAGACAGAGTCCAGACAGCATTGAAATTGACGAAGGCCAGCACCGATGGCCCATCCAGTACCCAGACACTCCATGGGACTGCCATATATGCCGCCCCATTGACCCCTCATGGCCCACACCACCCCTGGCCGTTTTGAAGCAGTCCGGACTGGCAGTCCCAGCCAGGGTCGCGTCTGGGGTATTGATTTGTGAATGTGTTCTTGCTTTAAGGAGCACGGCTCCACCACCAAGATCACCCAGGGTGTATGTATTCGTTCGTTCCATGTTCAAAGCAAGACACGGCGTATGTTTGGCGATCAACGGCGGGGGACTACCACCTTTGGCAGGAATTTGCATGTTATCTCTCCAAGCACCTTAAATAGATACAGAGATGTATGTCTTCTCTCCAAACAATTTGGTTAACTCTGGACTTAGACATATGCGGAATTATGCGGATATGCCGGGCAGATATCCATCACTGACCGTGCAGGCTATGCCTTGGCCATCCACTCCTGCAGCCCATCTCAATGCTCCACTCTAGGGCTCTTTGGATGCAGGACATGGAGGGTGAGAAAGGAGCCCGATGAGTCTATGAGTTCTCCAAGTCTGCAGTTGTTCAGTGTGTTTTTAAATGTGCGAAAGCGAAGAGAACAACTTAGTTTGTGGCCAGGGCGCACTGAATTCTGAATTGAAGTTACAGATACACTTTTAGATCCCCCAAAACGATGACGGACATTTCAAGAAAACCGCAAACAAGTCTTTCTCTCCAAATGATACTGTTTTTGGTAGAACAATGAACTGCTTTGGCGGGGTTAATGCCTTTTTGGACATTTTTGGACACTTGCATCTTTTCTCAGCGTGGGGAGATTGTTGCTCATACTTCAAGGGTTCCAAAGCCTGACCCGGTACATGCTTCAGTTTCTTCGTTTGCCCTCTGTATGTAGTGATCTCCTGCGCTGCAAAGGTTGTGTGATTTGGAAGTCTAGAGAAGCTTGTAATGGTTAGGACTTTGAGATTCGCGCATAACATTTGTGTGCCGTCAAACTATGTCTTAATAATATTGTTAATATACATTGCCTACGTTTTTAATGCGTGAGCTCCAATATTCCCAGCAGGGTTTTGGACAACACCTGTAGTCATGCCTTTTTTGGAGTCCATATTATGGCAAAGAGCAGTTTTGCATGCGAGAGATGCTCGTGCGGCTTGATTTGATAGAGGCTGGCTGCTGACTTGTGAATTTTGTGTTAAGTTACCATTTGCAATCACAAGGTGGCTGGAACACAATCCGCTGGCTCAGATAAAACTCCCAAAATTAACATATTGCACACCTGGACCGTCCAAGGGGTGTCCAATGGAGGTCCCTTATAGTAGTGTAGGGGCTTCCATTGGTGACCCCGACATAAGGTGCCACACAGGTCCATGCGGCCTGTGTGGACTGACAGGCCACGCAATAGGCCTATCGGCCGATCGTGTGGACCGATCATCGCTGTGGCATCTCACTGGCTGTATTGGAACAGATCTGTCCTCCGTAGACACTTCGGTGGTGTTCCTTATGGCATGGTGTATGGCATGACTTGGATCTCGCTTGACCTAACCACCCTTTGTTTCATGCACGATGCTTTCGCCTTCAGCTCATGCTTTCTCCCAACCCACCGAACCCGCAGGACTGACTCGTCCCGTTTGGAGCACCGAACCCATCGGTCCGAGGCTGGAACCCACCAACGACGTCATCCGCGCCCAGACGCTGCTCTCCGGGTGAAACGGGCCGAAACGAGCGGGAACGAGCGACGCAGGGCGCAAAACATTGGGATCCGAAACGGGCGGCGGTTCGACCGGGTGTTCCCAGGTTTCGTGGTGATGGCGCGCGGAGAAAACGGGTGAAAACGGGTGACTTCAGGTGAGAGAGGTGACTCGAAATGGGCATGGGTGAAAAAAGGAGGGCGAGCTTTGGGCCAAAAAGCACCCACAGACACTGTCCAGTGGAAAAAGAAACAAAACATGACACAGTCCAGGTCTTGTTTTTCTCTCGCAGTGATGCTGAAAGATTCACAGATGTCGTGGTGACCCGTCAATCTCCGACGGAGCTTGGGAAACCCCCCAAAACGGTACTGAGCTGAACCCCCTTTTTTGGTGATTGGACAAGATAGAACAGGTCGTAGCTTCGCAAGAGACAAACAGCTCAGAACGAACACGTACAAGAATGGCTCTTGTTTGGTTCGTATATGTTCGTATGATGATAATATGAATCTATATAATATTCTATAACATGGTTCTTGGTTGCTTGGGTTTCTGCGCTCTGGTTGCCCCTTCGCCAGGTACATCCTCCGCCCACACCCTGCTGGAGGTCGGTGGGTGGACAGAACGTCACACAGACTCCAAAATGTTCAGCCCAGAGGCTCATGGACCCTCAAACTGCTACATGTTTGAGGTCCCAAACCCTGGCTGTGAGGGTCAAAACCCTATAGCTATGAGGCTTCAATGAGCTTCGGATTCGGGACCTCTTTCGCCCGAATCCGAAGCTCCTGGCCCCCCACACAGTCGTACCCAGCTTCTCCTTCCGGGTCATTGGACCCCCGAACGAGACAAGAGGACCCTCGTCGGCGAAGAAGATGACAGACTCTGACGTCGTGTTTCGGAAGACCGAAAAAAAATATTCCGTTTTGGACGCCTCTTACCTTGAAGCTATCCATGTTCGTGAACATAGACTCATGTTTGCAGGGGGTCAGATGCTCAGATGCTCAGAGTACTGTTACTGTTCACATGACAAACATCATCCTTTTTCAGATAGTTTGAACTACCAGCCAAAACGTATCCGAAGGGTGTCCAAAGTTCTTTGGCATTTGATTCCTAGGCTTTCCTTGCATTGCTTTGTGAATCTGTGTGATGTTCTTTTTAAATTTGGGTGTGTTTTTCTCTACCAATTGATTCGCCTCGGTAGACATGAAGAGAATGCAGCACTGTCGCCTACCAGGTGAGGTGCATCACCAAACTTTCACCAACCTCACCGAACTTCTGGCTGGGGAACCTTCGCTTCACCGAAACTTCTGCTTCCGATCCGGATCAAACATCGGGTCAGCTCCGCACAGACAATGCGTCGTAGGCGTGGTCTTGCTGGGGCTCTCGCAGACGGACATGGGTGGCAACGTGCCTCAGTGGGTCCAATCCTTCGCCAAAAAGGCGAGAGCGGAGCTCGGCCGAGAGTGCAGGTGGAGGTGGGCGGAAGATGTGCGAAGACATGGAGAGAAGCGCGACTTGGGAGTGAGCAATCGGCAAAGCTATGTGGTGTGATTGTGTGTGTGTTTTTTTGAATAGACCTTGTAGCGTGAACATGTAACCTCAACAAATGGCTCCAAAATGGAAACAGGTGGAAACGGCACCTCGAAACAGGTGGAAACGGCAGACAATTATGTTGTTGAATCTCTAGAATGTCCTCCATAGTTCCAACTGTAACAGTTGGAACCGTGGTGTTTTCCAGGTGCAGGGCAACTGCACTGGGCATTCATGGTTGTTCGACTGTGGGGGTGGAAACAGAGGGAGAAGAATGGAGAAGCGGGACAGAGCTCAACAAGCCCGTGCTCCTCTTCTTTTTTAGACAGGGACCTATACCCAGGAAAATTTGAAATCACCTTGAAGCTTTCATGGGGCGATTGGTTTCCCCAAAAAGCAGGAACAGGTGGAAATGGAATGAAATGGATACATACATATATATATATATTATATATAATATACCTTTATGTTCCATGGGAAGCGGCTCGGCAGTCAGAGGGCCGAGGAAAGATGTGGAAAACACTATACCAGACAAGGTGCTCTCTTGGTGCGTGACGACGGGACTGTTCCGGAGGACGAGTTTGATCTCCACATCTTGGTACCATTGACGTTTGTTTTTTTTCGTTTTTTTCGAAGGACGCCAGAAAATCATGTACAACAGCTGCCAGCACGTCCATCATGCTGCCAGCACGTCCATCAGCATGGGAGCGGGATGTTGGATCAACGGAGCATGCGCCCTTCATATCTCTCATCGGATGGGGTGCAACGGAGATTTTCACCCGTTATAGAACTGGCATCTTGGGATGACTCAACCTATAGGCAGTGAGGTGAACTTGGCTTTACGGTGATTGTTGCTTTTCCCGCATAGGTAAATCTCCTTCTGCGATTAGTTGTTTTTGGTTCCTGGACAGCAAATCCATGAAACCACCAACCAGTCCTCTCTCTCGGCGATGAGTGGTCCAGGCGGGCAAGCGCATGCCGCTGCAGTGGGCACAGAGGTTGGAGGAGCAGGGTGGGGGAATGTGAGGCGTCGCTGGTGACTGCGCGGCGGTGCACACACACAATGTCTTTTCTTGTATGACTTGTATGAATTCGGGTTTCAGGTGTTTTCTAAAACAGGCCACCAAAATAGTTAAGTTTACACAGACAACTCGACTCCTCTTCATCTTTCTTCTTTCCCTTTTGTTCTCCTCTCCTTTTCCATCCTCTTCTCATGTTCCCCTCATCTTTTCACTTCCTCTTCAAATCCTTTTCCCGTCCTCTTCCTTTCCTCTTCCTCCTATTCCCTTCCTCTCCGCCTTTCTTCTTCCCATTATTTTTTTCCTTTTCCCTCCTCTTCTCCTTGTCCCTTCATCTCCCCCTTCTCTTCTCCGTTTTCCCTTCTTCTTTTCCTCCCTTCCCTTTCTTGGTAAGAGAGAAGAGAGATAAGAGAGAGAAGAGAGAAGAGAGGAAAGAGAGGAGAGAGATCTGAGAGATAGAGAGAATATAGAGCCGGAGGCTCGGGGGCGACTCGGGGGAGCGAAATCCAATCCTCCAGAGATACAAAATGTTCCCGCAAAGGTTGCCGAACCCTGCGGACCTTTTTTTCCATTGCTCGCCACTGCTCCAGCTGAGACAGATTGCGAAAACAGGGCCATTGGCCAGCCAGTGCTTGAAAGCTGTTGTTTCATTACAGGTTTGGTAGATGTATCTCCGAAGCTACATTATGCAGTCATGTCTGAATCATGAAATGGTTTGCTTGCAAGATTCCAAAGTTACCCAACTCGGCCACACCAGTAAACTCATCAAGATTCCTGGTGCTTCAGTCAGGCCATGAAAACGGCTTTTCCTCACCTCTCGGAGACGGGGATCGGATACACTGGATTTCGGTCTGGCGAAAACGGATGGGGAGACAGATCCTTACCGAAGGCTGGACATAGCTGGCAGGGGAGAACCTACTACGCTCCACAAGCAGCTGACAGCCATGCACTTCAACCTGGACCACGGCATACGTGAGGTGGCGAAGGTGTCACAAGGCTTGGAAGGGATTGCATCGAACACAGACAGTGCATCTGAGGTGGAGTCCGTTGCAGATGCCTGCAGTGAATGAAGCCCTCGCCCGCTTCCACAAGCGGATCAAGGATGCGAAAGAAGCACGAGACAAGGAAGACGCGCGGGCGCTCGCTGAGCGGGAGCGAGAGGCAGAGGCGGCCCGCGGGAAGGAACAGGCAGACCGTGAGTCGATGGGGGGGATTGCAGGGCATTTCGCTGCACTCAACGCCATGGCCACTGCACCTGGGTCGATGGTGTATGAGAACGTGGCAGCCATCGCAAGGATGGTTGATCTCGAATGCAAACCAGCCGAGGAAGGAGGTTGGGTCACTCCCTGTGGCGCGGATCACGGAGATGATCACGGCGTTTGAGCAAGCAGCAGCGGAGGCTCGCGGTGACCCTCACAAGACACCCACATACCAAGCAATGCGCGCCGCCTTCGCGAAAGAGGCCGAGACATTGGCATCCAAGTCGCCACATCCAAGCCTGATTGAGTCAGAGTCACTGACAGTCTCATGCGGCTGCGATGTGATTGCCCGAATCAATGGACATGTCGTCTCGATGAAGGTCAGGGCCGCGGCTCGATGTCGGCAAGTGGGGGGCCATCTTTGATCGCCTGCTGGCACCAGTTGTCGAAAGCCTCGAAGGTGACTTCATCACCCGACGGGGGGTGTGTGCGATTTCATCCATCATGGGGATGGTCACGTCGGCTGTGGAGGCGCTCCACAAGTCGAAGGTCGAGGGTGAAGATATTGCCGCCGTCCAGATCGGCCGTCAAGGCTTTACTGTCTCAATTTTCCCGGGGTCGCACGAGTTGTACGGCCCACAGGCGCTCGAGGGAATCCCACAACCCATCCTTGCCAACCCGCCATGGGCCATCGGCGGCCCGGTCGCTGGCTCGCGCAAGCATTTCGAATCGCTTGCGCGTGCAATGAAGCACAAATCTGGAGCTGCGCTGGTCGCTTCACCGTTGGCAATGGCAGGGTACGCAGCCAGGATCCTCGAAGCAGACAAAGGCACAGCAATGGACGTCTCCAAGATCGGAATTGTGGTCGCCACAACCGCTGCAGCTGGTGCCGAGCCACCCGTCTCTGCGGAAGGCGGGGCCACGCCCCCGCCTCGCGGCAAGACCACACGTTACCTTTACGTGTCCTACGGTGGGATGCCGCTGCCGTCTCCTGATGTGGGGGAAATGAAAGCATCCATCGTCCGCATCATCCTTGACAAGGCGTCCGGGAAGACTGTGATGGTTGTGATCAAGCGTGCACGTGGCGCACCTGCTTTCGCGGGCCACAGGCAGGGACGGTCAGGCCACGCTCGTGATGCACAATTGCTGCGCTCACACTTCCGTGCTGTTGTGGCAATCCTCGGTGCCCGCGGTTCCCCTCCAGGAGCAGTGGCGGCGGAGAGTGCTGCATCGCATTTCAATGCCGAGATTGCGCGCATGGGCTCTGATCGGCTGAGCGCCAGCTTCGAGTACACCTTTTAGAGCAGCACCATCGTACGAGCCCAGCTCCGATTTTTGAGGCACTGCTACACTTCTCCGTACGCGACTTTTTTCGGGCCCGCATGGACTCACGGCACAGGCGGATCAGCCCGAATCGCGAGCCAAATCAAAAAAATACACATACATACATACATACATACATACATACGCAGATATATATATATATATATACATACATACACTGTATATAGATGTAGCTATTATGCATACTAGTCATTCATTTCCTGACCTGAGAATTTTGGCAAGACACTCATACGGGACACTCTTGTGGAACACTCTTGTAGGACACTCTTGTGGGACACTCTTGTGGGACACTCTTGTGGGACACTCTTGTGGGATACTCTTGTAGGACACTCTTGTGGGACACTCTTGTAGGACACTCTTGTAGGGCACACTCTTCGGACACTCTTGTAGGACACTCTTGTGGGCCACTCTTGTAGGGCACACTCTTCGTACGAGACTTCCTCCAAAAGTCATGCTGCGAGGCTGCAAGACGAGCGTTTCGTACGAGACTTCCTCCAAAAGTTACGCGTCAAGTCTCAAAAACGAGCATTTCGTACGAGACGTCCTCCAAAAGTCACACGTCAAGTCTCAAAAACAAGCATTTCGTTCGAGACTTCCTCCAAAAGTCACACGTCAAGTCTCCAAAACGAGCGTTTCGTACGAGACATCCTCAAAAAGTCACACGTCAAGTCTCCAAAACGAGCGTTTCGTACGAGACATCCTCAAAAACTCACACGTCAAAGTCTGCAAAACGAGCGTTTCGTACGAGACATCCTCCAAAAGTCAAGCGGAAGCACCCATCGGAGCACACACATCACGCAGCCCTGCCAAGCAGTTTCGCGATTCCAGCCCCTCCAAACAACATCCGCTCACACGCCAATCCCAATGTGACAGCGACATTCACCTCTACCACAACTCACAACCTCACGATTCCCTGCACCTGCCACGAATCTTTCCGCGTCCACACGTCTAACGCGCACAAAGTACTGCGCCTGCCACGAAATGTCGCCTCCGTCACACCTCGCAACCTCACGATTCCCTGCGCCTGCCACGAGAATCGCACTTCCACGCCTCAAAACCCGCACAAAGTCCTGCGCCTGCCACGAAAATTGACAATATCCTCTCATGTGAGCTTCAACCAAATTTGCACCACACCACACGTTTGGAATGATTTCGACCTGTTTGGGTCTGTCCGATTTTACCTGTAACATCCTGCAACAGTCAGTAACAATAGGATATACTACCCAACCTATAGTCATTGTACAGTTCATCCTGATGCTCTAACAATCAACTGCTGAGCAAAAGAAATTCCATGTCTTGACCCGGCGACAGGACTATCTCAAAACCCGAAGCCGCAGCCCCAGTGAAAACATCAACATGACATCCTCCTCGTACTCAGATCTCTCAAATCCCAAGTGGAATTGACCATAAACAGTCTTTATGATTTGAGCCAAGAGTTCTGATGGGGAGGTGTTCATCACGACCGAAAAATTGGAAAAAAGAACATGCCTTGGAGCCACGCTGACCTGTTGCAATGATGGGTGGGTGATCAAGTTCCAGATCAAATTGATAGCTGGAAGGATTCGGATTGATTCAACAATGACTCAAATGGCTATTATTCATGTATGAAACGAGTCAATGGTCAGTCAAGTCTTGCTGGGGAATTCTTGGTGGATACAGTCGTTCACCCAAAAAAAAACATGCAGCGGCCAGTCCATGCAGACTCGAATTAAACTCTATAGGGAGATCTGGCTCTTTCTTGGGAAGACAGGGAATGCATGTGGCTGTGGTGTTGCAAGCTCCACTCAACGTCTACAGCAGCTTACAGCTAGCGATAGAAGATCTGGAAACCCATGCTGTGTGTGTGTTGGCAAACCATCCAAGGATTTCTGATGTTCAAGCAACCAGTGAGTCAAATAATCATTCAACAAACCAATCAATCAATCAATCAAATCAATCAACCTGCAGCTTCCCTCCCCCAAGCAGGGCCCTGAGCTGCCCTGAGGCAGCCAGATCGCTCCTTCTCGCCGCTGACGGGACAGAGAGACATGGGAGCGTGGCAAAAGAAAACGCCAGGCTCAGCGGTTGGCCAGTTGAGTTCCACGATCGAACACCGGAACCACACCCCCTCAAAAAGAAAGAACTTGGAAGATTTCTATTTGGAGACCCTGGGTTTGTTCCTTTGTGTCTCTGGTACTCTTCCTTTGCATCTCCAGGGTGCCAAGGGGCGGCGCGAGCAAAAACGCGTTGCGCAGACTTGAAACCAACTTCGGTTCGGACCTGCCAGGCAGCTGACACCGAATCCTCATGTTTGGCACCCGAAAAGCCGGGTGTGTGTTGCCAGGACTCGCTACCGGATCCGTCCAGACCGGGGTGACTGAACTGCCGGGGGGTTTGGGTGTCGGAGCGCCGGAACGCACTGCGTGAAAGGGCCTTGGGGGTGGGTCATGTCCCGGGGACTGACTGGAGGGTTTTTCAAGCAGCTGGAGGTGGTTGAACAGGTGGAGAGGAAGAGGGAGGCAGCGTCATCAATCATTCATCATTCAACTGCTGGGGTGAAGATGGCTTGCGGGGGTCCAAGTGGCGAAGGTCTTTTGGGAGCTTCGGAACTTTTTGGTTGGGGGGTTTTGGTTTAAGTACCGGATCCAGAAGGATTTGGTGGTGTGACTCGCCTTCCAGAAATGTGATAGAATGTGGCAAACGTTTGATGTTGTTGAATGCCGTTCATGCCATACCGGGTGTGGATTTTTGGGGTGTCCTTGTTCCACACGTTTTATTTCTGGATGCGCAGAACAGTGGGCACATGGTGGACACAGCGCTGGAAAGATACACCTGGGCTATTTGTGGCAAGGTTTCTGGGGCGTTTCTTTGGGGAAAGGGAACTAACTCCTCGACTTGGTACACACTTGCAACATGATGTGTCAATCGATAATCTGTTTCAAGGTTCCGAAATCCTATCAAACCACCCTGATACGAAAGTGAAAGCTCCATTTCTTCGGCAGAATACCTGCACTACGTGTTAAAATCGGCCGAAAACCATTTCAGCCGGTCCTGGAAGGGCTCGGTTTTCGGCTTTTCGTTTCTGATCCTGTTTCCGTATATCTTCACTGCTCGAGCGTTTGCACACCTATTGTCCGATGAGCTTTTCGCAACCTGCACAGGCGCCCCTGTGCGGGGGGAGTGGCGACTGGGACTGGGGAGTGGCTGGGGGGAAGGGTGTTGCAATCGACCTCCCAAGCGTTCCGACTCAGAAGGAACATTCTAATTCCCTATAGGCTCCAAGTACCTTCTGAGAAGGTACTTGGAGCCCTATAGGGAATAGCTTCTTGTTCCTAGTAGTACGGCCAGGAGCCCCTAAGTTCGTAGCGTCTTCTCTCGCTCCGTTCGGCTCGCGATGCCGCTCCGTTCGTAAACAGACCAGTCTACCCAGTCTACTGGGCCAGATAGTCGGAACATAGACCCAGACGCGACCGACCCGAATCCTCTGGAGGAGGGGTCTGGGGCAGTGTCTGGGGCAGGCTCCACCAATCCGATTTTGAAAAGAATGTTATTCCAGACGCGTCGTTCACGGAGCGTCGTTCGGTACCGCACCCAGACCGTGTTCCGTCGCCGTGGAGCCGTATCACAGAATCCCTCGAATCCGACTCAACGACCTGAGACGATGCAGCGACGCGGCGACATGGCATACAGGACTTGAAAAAAAGGTGGAAACACTAGCACTTATTGCTTATTATAGATCTTACCTGGGCATCTCAGGATATGTTTTGTCGTGAGCAATTCAGAAAGAACATGTCAATCAAAGGTTCAAGAAGACACTCCATGTTTGGCGCGCCTAGATTGGGGTGGCTGAAAAAAAAAGGGGTCAATGTGGAACCATCGCCAGTCGCATTAGTCGTGTCGTTCGGATTCTTAGTGTTTGGTGTCCTCGTGTGAGTGGTATGCCTATTGGTCCCATGTAGCGTTCATCCTCTTCGGTGACGAAGGTCAAGGTTTTCGTTCCTTTGGACATGGTGAAGCCTCGGAGGCGAAAGCGATGGCTGTCTACCTGGAAGAGCCTCTCTATGCTTTCTGGAAGAATCAGGGTGCCGGCGAGGACGGAAGCAGAGTCGGGGGTGGGGCGTGCTTGGTTCACTGATTCGGAAGCAGGACGGGGTCGGGAGACGTGGTTTTTTGGGCTCAACATTGGGAGACGTCCCAGGCAGATCTCCCGGAAGGTTTGGAACATTTTGGAACATAGACCCAAAACTGGCCAAAAGCCAGGGTCCCTGGCCGCCGGGTGTTCTCACGGAAGACATATATACATGCATGCACATAGTGTTAATATGTGCTCATCAATAGGTCCAGCCATCAAAGACACAATTTTTGGGCGGCGGAGGTTTGAGCCAGATTGCTTTTTCTTGCAGCACAGGGGCGGCGGAGAAGTTCTCTTGAGCTATCGTTGTTGTGGTAAAGGATTTTTGACCTGTCGGAGAAGATGAGGGATGATGAGGTCGACATATTTGAAGAATAGCTGCTGTGAACACACATGTGCAGGTATATGATGTGTGTGTGTCACATATTCAAATTGTGCACATGTTTCATATGTGTTTGTGAATCTGGAAAAGTCAAGATTGGTCAGGGATCCTTTTTCTTGTGACATTGCACTTCATTGACAATTGATGAGGGCAGCGGCAAAACCCATGCCATAAAGTCTGTCTATACTTTGTGTTTAAGCAACCAAAAGCTGTCCAATTCACAAGCATGCACGAGTAAATAAGGGAGTTTAATGCAAATTTTCTGGCTTAGTGAGTAGTGATGGTACATTCGACTATGTGGAAGAAGTCTAGCGCCATCTTAAAACCGCTGCAGGACGGCTGTGCGTGGATCAGGTACTGAATCCTATGGAAGACCAGTTGGACAGTTGTAGTGTCGTTTAATTTGCTCATATGACATGTTCTGTTTGTCCTATTACCAGTACTCAGTTTGTATTTACAATCACCACTATTTTTGAACAGGGCCTTTACTAACCATCATCATCTACTGCTACTGGTAATAGGATAGACGGATAGACCCAATCGAACAAAAAGGCCTCCCCATTTGACCCACCCACGTGGCGACCCGAGATTCTCGATGCAACCCGCGTCCATCGAGTAGTAGACGCAGCGACGCGGATTCGATTTGTCAAGGGTCTTCTGTGGTCTACTACCCATTTTCCTAGGGGGGATCCAAGACGACACTTTTGTGTAGGTGCCAAAACGTCGGGTCCAGTCGTACCGAACCTGAGGTTTGGGTACGACTGGAATGGTCCAAGGTTTGCAATACAAACCCCCGATCCAAACCCAAATGAAGCAGAGTACAACCCCATTCAGATCCTCCGGACCCCATACTCATCACCAGGACACAGCCGAGACTCCGGGCATGCGTGTGGATATCGAGCCCCTTGGCCAGGGCGTTTGCACCCGCAGAACAACAGAAGCCGTTGGGCTTCCCATGCTACAATGTGGAGAGATGGTCTATGATGGTCTCCAGAGAGGGGTGCATCCCTGGAAGTCCAGTCATGACTCATTTTACCCTCTAGGAAGTGATATCATGACATATGACCTGGTAGTGGTGGGGTATGAGTCATTGGAAGTGACCTGGCTTTGTCAATCTCGATGACCTCGTCCCCGGTCGGTCGGACCGTGAAAACACGGAGCGTGTCGGTCTCGCGCCAACGAAGCCGCGTTCAACATCAACGCGATGGACATCAATGATTTACCCGAACAACATGTTTTTCAGAGTCTCCATCTCTTCTTCCTTTTCTTGATTACACGGTGGAAGAGATGAAGTTTTTTGGAAGCTTTTCATCCTGACCATCTGGAGTCAAAGAGGCCCGGTGCCGTCCTCTTGCGTCGTGGTGTAATGAGCAGGTGTAACAGCTATGATTTTGCGGCGTTTTTGTTGTGATGTGACGGTTGGCTGTCGAAAAACAAAAAAATAGTGCTCTATCAAAGTGCGCTCATCAAAGTGCCACATTCTGTGATGCAATCGGCCCAGTATGTCTTCCTGATCTTTTGTTTGCCCCTAGTGGCCCCACCCATGGTGTCGGTGTTACTCGTGCGCACGGTGGCGAACGGAAGGATACGAACATACACGAACACATCACGTGGACGTGGACTCTGTTTTCCACTTCCATCTTAGTGGGGTCAGAGTGTCGTCCTTGACCGTTCTTGGTCAAAGTCGTCCTCGGGTCCTGCGGGGTTTGGCACGGCATGGACAAGAGGTGTGTCGGACAGGCGGATTTGTCGAACGCAAATGGTTGAGCGCTGGGCTTCACGCCATGGTGAAGCCCTGTAACTCCCTGGAATCATCATGGGCCAATGTATGCCAACGTGGATGGCATGGCCCCTTGGTTGACCATTTTCCGAATGCCGAACAGGTGGTTTTCACCTGTTTTCACTCCACTTCCATGATTATTCCAAGGAGTGTAACAACATGAACCACACCTCACTCCATGGCCTCGAAGTGATCGAGTCGCAGGTCTTAAGCCTTGGGTTCATCAACAGCATCATTGAAATCTCTTGGAACCCTTGGGAGACAACTTGGGAGACATCAAACACCATTTTTCAAAGATCGAACAACGTGGAAGACATCGGCGCACTGTAGACGCACATGTCCCGTACCGACTGAGGAAGTACCGGATGCGTTATCGCGCCTACAGACTGGGCCACTTTGGCGGCAAGGGGCGTCTGGGTTTGATATCCCAGATGCGACCCATGGGACTGCCATATATGCCGATCAGTTGGGGTGGTTTTGGGGGTCAATGTATGCATATATGATACAGGCAACAGACAATGTCATGCCCAGAAGCAAGAATAAACCAGAATTAGCTGCGGGGAAGGTTTCGTAAGATGTCGTGCCCAAACCTGAATCGCAGGCGACCTCTAATGATGTTTGTGTCCAAACGTAAATTTGTGCAGCGGTGCCATTGGGATTCGCTATTAAACCCAACCTTGACTAGTTTTGATTGATTAGCTTTAACATCATTTGAGGGTCTGGACGGGGGGTTCTCCGGGGACTTCAGCATCATCGGGGACATCGAGGACTTCAGCATCACAACATTGTCATCGATCACAACATTGTCATCGATTAGTCGTGTGATTAAAATGGGGTGGGGGGGGGTGGGGTTGGCCGGGGGGCTCGGGGTGTCAC